CTGGGGGCAGATGTGTCAGAGATGGTGACAGGGCAGGGATCAAGATAGGGCAGGATTTGGAGCTATTGTTCATAAGACCACTATGAAGTGTAGTCAACTTGATGACACAATAATAATATTCACTCTCTTTCCTTTGAGTCCTGGGGTGCAGTGGTTAGAGCAGCTTGGATGCTAACCGAAAGGTCAACGATTTTAACCCACAGGTCACTTGAAGCAAGAAAGATGTGGCAGTCTGCTCCCGCAAGGACTTAGAGCCCTGGACAAGCTATGGAGCAGTTCTATCGTCCAGGGTTGCTAAGAGTTTGAATTGACTTCAGAGCAGTGAGTTGGTTTGAGTTGAGGCTTCTTTGAGGAGTAAAACTGAGTCAAATCTCTGGTTAAGTTGTTTCTTAAAAAACTCTATGTGCTTAATATAGATAAAGGTACACAGTTCAAATTAATGAGCTTCTCCACAGGAGGAAGATGAGCAATCTCCTCTCATGCAATTAACGGCCTCTGAAAACCCACTGCAGGGTCACCTATGGGTCACTTCCAACTCAATAGTATACAACAATAACATTAAGGGGAAAATAAATCCAACACACAGAAAAGTGTATCTTAAAACATAAAAAACCTTGAAAGCCCCTGAACTGAACCATCATCTGGAGAATGATAATAGTGGGAGAATGGTAACCCATCTTTCCAGGATTTTCTGCATTCATACTGTGTGCTATCACTATTTTATTATAACAGAAATGGAATCCCTCTTGCTTGGAAACAGCATGCCCCTTAGACCCATCTTTCTCTTGCTAACTGCTGCATGATACTTGGCTGCTTAATAACTTAGTTAATGAGCCCCCCACTTTTTATCTTATTGTGTACCATCAAGTTGGATCCAACTGGCACACGAGGAGATTGCCTTCCTTCTCCAGCAGAGCATTTGGTGGTTTCAAACTGCAACGAGCGCCCCACTAATGGGCATGTCGGTGTTTCCAGTTAGTGTTTTACAGGTAACCATGACTCACATCTCTGGACAAGTATCCCTATAGTACTAAGTCCTGGAAGGTGCATTGCTGGGGCAAAGAGGTACACAGTTATAGGTTTGAGAGAGGCTGTCAGGTTGTGCCACAGACGGTTGGATCTGTTTTAGACTCTTTTTTTGGAGCTGTTTTCATCCCCTTCTGACTGAATGAGAATGGCTTTTTCATTCTCACTCCCAGCCCTAACTCAGTTTCCCAGGCCATAAATGGATTGGGTTGGATGATTTGTGAGGCTTTTAAATCCTATAACCAGAGCTGTGCTGGAACTTGCTCCCACCTGCTCCCAAGAATGACTGATAACCAGCCCTTGAACCTGGACTTGAACTCATCCAAAGGACACAACTTGCAGACAAAAAAACAGACAGATCTGTAAAGTGAATAATAGCCCCTGGGAGATTCTCAGCACTGAGAACACTTCTCCATCTAACACTTGTCCAAGGATAATATTCAGGAGGTAGCAGGAAGAGGATGGACGGATGGATGGATAGATGGACGGATGGATAGATGGATGGATGGCATCAAGAACCACAGAGAGATTGTGGGGAGATTGATGAGACAACGTGGGGAGTGTGATCAATGTCATAAAATAAAATACATAGGAATGGTTGGATGGAATGTCAATCTGTTCTGTAAACTTTAACTCAAATAATAATTTTACAAAAACAAAGGAATGATTGATAAGTTTTCAGAAATTTCTTGCACCAGTTGTTAAACAAATCATTATTAATCAAATTATATCAACTTGCAATTAAGATGCATTAAAAATTAATGAAGTCAATTAAAAAATGAATACCAAAACGCCTCACTTCCTGATTGCTTTATCCCATTTTGCTATCATTTACATGCTTCAAGTTGTTTATGTCTATTGTATCTGTGGGGTGGACACACTATACAATGTTGTGCTGCTACCTGACTCTTCCTAATTCTGTATGTAGTGAATTGGTAGTTCGAAACCAGTCGTGTGGGAGAATTTGCACCATGAGAATTGACGAATGCTCTTTCATGATTTACCAGCATGACACACTGCTGTGGATTGCACAGGTCTTTCTCCAATGACCAAGAGGAAGAGACCATTATGATAGCTAGAAACGAATGAAATGCAGTAAGAAGGAAGGCAGAATAAGCCTGGAGACTTAGCTCAGATCCCTATGACACTCTGCCCTGTGAACCCAGCTAGGTCCAAGCCCCCATTTCCTTTCCTGTGAAAGGAGTGTATAGCCATCTTTTTTTAAATTGTTTCTGTTGTTAGAATCTTGCTTTTAATAACTAACGTCATCTGGGAGTTGGGTTGGTGGCCTGATTCGTTCAGAGTTGAACTGTTAACCTAAAGGTACCGTCTCTCCAGCACTTCAAATCCACCAGCAGGCCCGCAGAAGATGAGCAATCTCCTGTGCAATGTATGGCGTCAGACACCTGATGGTCGTTTCTACTCGATGGCAATGAGTTTGAGATTTTTGTTGTCATTATTTATCACTTTGGTTTGGGTTTGTGTGTTGTTGTTGTTGTTGTTTTTTAAAGGGAAAGTTTACAAATCATATTGGGTTTCCATTTAGACATTTTGTTTCATGACATGAATTGCAGCTGTGGAACCCATCTTGCTGGGTGATTGTGAGCTCTCCCGGGAAAGGTTGTCTTACCCCGTGTGGGCTCCAGGGAGTCACAGACCTGAAGGCAAATCCCCGCTAAGTGACTTACTGTTCCCGGATGCACTCCACTTGGTCATCAAACAGCAGTAATAGCATTCCACAGCTAGGATTAAAACCAAAAGCCAAACCCACGGCTCTTGGGTAGGTTCTGTTTTAGGATGACCCTCCCACCAGGTTTTGCAAGGCTGTAAATCTGTACAGGAGATTGCCTTGTCTTTCTTCTGGGAAGCAGCTGGTGATTCAAACTGCTGGCCTTTCAATTAAAAGCTCAACACATAAGGTACTAGGATACCCAGGTTCCTAGGATTTCTTTCTCGTTCTCTTGTCACTGGGAGGAAACTGCTCCTCTTTCTCCCTCAGAGCAGCTGGTGAATTTGAACCACGGGAGAGGCATAGCCTTTGAATTAGCAGCCTAACTCTCAAAGGACTTCACCACCAGAATGCCCTGATTTGGTTTTAATTAGCCTCCTGTGCAATTTAAAACCTCTGATAACACCCCCCTGAGGGTCAGCTATGAGTTGATTCTGACCAGACAGCAATGAATGAGGGTCTGTTATTCATGGCAAAAGACAGTTCCCTTTTTATTGCTTTTTTGGGTGTTTTCACTAGTCACTACATTACTTATTTGACTATAGTTGAATTATGTTCCAAGGATGGTGGTGGTTGTTTTTAGATGACATTGAGGTGAGTACGACTCATAGTGACCCTATGAACAAGAGATCTGAAACCAGTCCTGTCCTGCGCCATCCTCACACTTCCTGACACACAAGAGCCCATTGCAGCAGTCACCTTGTCAATCTGCCTGGTTAAGGGTCTTCCTCTCCTTTGCCAACTCTTCACCCTTCCCAACATCATGTCCCTCTCCAAGGAACAGCACTTCTTAGCAATATGTCCAAAGTATGTGAGGCGAAGCCTCATCATTCTTGCCTCCAAAGAGCACTCTGGCTGCACCCTCTCCAAGATATATCTATTTCTTTTCTTGATTGTCCATGGGATGTTCAGTGTTCTTCCCCAACACCACAGCTCAAAGGCATCAATTCTTTTTCCATCATCCTTATTCATTGTCCAGGTCTCAAATGCATAGCTACTAATCAGAAACATGATGGCCTGAATCAGATGCACCTTAGTCCTCGAACTGACATCACTACTACTCAATAATTTGGAAAGGTCCTTAACTGCAGATCCTCAGGATTAGGACCTTTAAAATTCTGTGGGACTGGGTGAGCTGGGGCAGGCATGGCTGTCCCTGCTGCTTCTCTTGTCCACCTCTCTCCTGCTCTGGATTCTTTAATGCTTCTTAGCTTCACCAAGTGGGCAAATGGTGTCCGCAGTCCTGTCCTTGGTATTATTAAGTGGTTGAGGGACAGGACACAGCAGAGGCACACAGTAAATAGGATTTGGGGCTGGGGACCCTTCGCTGAGCCCCTGGTTGTAGCATCAGACCACCTGAAAAAGCCTCCCTCTAAGAAGGCCCTGCAGGGAGTTCTGGTGGCTTCATGATAAAGAGCTGTACTGTCAACCCAAAGGCAGGTAGTTGGAATCCCCCAGCTTCTGCTCCATAAGAGAAAGATGGACAATCTCTTCCCATGTGATTTACTACCTCTGAAAACCTGTTGGAGGGTCAGTTCCAACTCGACAGTACACAGCAACAAGAGAAGCCCCTGCAGATCCCTTAACCTGGGCCTGCACCCAGGTTATTTTTGGGATAAAAAGAAAGGGAGCTAGGAGCGGAGGTAGTACTTTGTCGGCTTATTCAAAAAGGTTCCCTGTGCCAGATTTCTCTATAATAAGCACACTGCAAGCATTACCTCATCACCACCACCCGTCACAACAGCCCTGAATGGGGAGGTTATTACGATCCCAACATGGCAAGTGAAAAAACTGGGGCTCAGAATCATCATAATGAGAACCTATCCTTTAACCACAAAGCAATGGGGGCTTCTGACCCACAGGGCTCCCTCCCACATGTTTCTCTGAGAAAACTCAGGGTTCAGGGGACAGGAGACAGGAGGGAGACAGGCAGGTCTACAACCTAGCCTTCCTGGGAAGAAACTGGACACAGCTGGGAGGGCAGCGGCAAGGGGTTGAGGTTAAGGTGACCAGTTTGTCCTGGTTGTCCCCAACTTTTTAGTACTTTATTTAGTTCCACCAAACCAGGCAATTGGTCACCCTCCAGCATCCAGCTGTGGCTGGTCAGAGCTCCAGTCCTCCCAGGCAAGACACCAGACAAGCTCCACTGGATGAGCTGGAGTGCAGAGGGGACTGGGTCTCACGCCCCGGCCAAGCCCTGCCATCTCTGGGCCTGACCTCCCACCCCTGGTTCCTGGATACCTACTTGTGGGACTGAGGCTGCAGATGGCCAACAACAGGGCGATGACCAGCGGGAGCAAGCCACGGGCCATGCTGTCCGCCCGGGGATCTGTGCGCTGAGCCTTATCCAGTGTCCAGGGGCAGGGCTGCGGGTGGGCGCCGGGGCCGGCGTGGGCTCGAGCAGGGACCCGAAGGGAGCAGGCGGCCCTGCTCCAGCCTTCTGCGGGGGCGGCCAAGGGATCAGGAGAAGTGGACACAAGGACACAGGGGTCTAGGCTGGAAGTCCACGACTGGCTGACCGACGATGACCGGAGAAGGGACGCTGGCTCCTCTGGACAGCAGTGCAGCAGTCCGTGGACACAGACGAGGGAGCTGACCATCGGTGGCCGGGAACTCCAGGCTCATCCAGGCGGGCTGGGGCGGCAGGAAATGCGCTTCCTTAGAAAAGGGGCCGGGCCAGGCTGCCTGCCAGGCGGGTAGAGGAAGTGCCACAGGCTTTGTCGCTGGGTGGGGGGCCTCGTGCAGTTGTGGGGGACAGCTTTGAGGTGAAGGCCCCAGGCTCCAGGCTTGACTCCCCACCCATCCTATCCTCTCCCACCCCAAGGATGGGGGCGCATCTTGGCAACCCCCAAGCCAGATAAAAACAATCACCATATAGCTCACCCCTTGCAGAGAACTCTGGCCCTAGCCAGACAGTTCATGTGGAACTGACTTGGAACTCTCATGTTACAGATAAGAAAGTAGAAGATAACTTACCAAGAACATGTTGGGATTCAAACCCATTTTCATCACTCTCCTAAACTGGCTCCTTTAACCATGACATTGAACTACTTGCTAATTCCCTCATTTCCAGAAGAGGAACTGAGGCCCAGGACAAGGCTGTTAGGGCTGAAATCTCCAGGTCCAGAGAGGCCAGGCCAGGGGATTCACTCAAGGCCTATACTTTGTGTCAGACTAGAAAATCCTCCAGGGACAAAGAACAGCCCCAGACAAAAGGGAAACATCTTAGTGGTGTTTCTGATGTCAAATGACTTTGAGTTTTCAGCCTCTCTCTGGGCTTGTTCTGAGTTGTAAGAACTTGGGGAACCTTTTCAACTTTGTCACTTTGTCTGTAAAGTGGAGTGTCTTCCTCAGTTCTTAGGTGTGAAATTTCTAAGGCTTGAGGCCTGACATACAGGAAGTGTCTCAAACTCTCCTCAAGCCATTCTCCCTGAGCATGGGAGACAATTCCAGAGCCCAGGGAGACAACACCCTCATGTTAGTCCTGGAAGGAGTTGTGCTCATTGTACAAACAGTAAGCACCTATGTATGCTAGGTACACGATGGGTCGGCCTAGTGGGCTCCGAGAAGAATCTGAGTTCCTGGAGGAGACATTTAGAACTTTGACAGCCTGAGAGGAGAGAATATTCCGGGCAAGGGGACGAGCTTGAGTTAAAATACTGAGGCAGGAAGTGGACAGACCTTGGTGGGATGAGCCGGCATGTCGGGGGGAGGGGGGCAGTAAATATGAGGAAACAGCCTCCAGTTCTGCTGTGGGAGAACTATATTCTGAAGCCCACGGGGTTTCATGGAAGGTCCTTAAGCAGAAGGATGCTGGCAGACCTAGACTTTAAGAAGACAAATCTGAGCCTGTTCTGATTGGCCACAGAGAACAGATGGAGCCACCTGTCATGGGTCACAAAATGGGAAGCAGTGGTTCAGAGAGACAGGACAGATGTGGAGCCCTGGGCACCTCTGGAGGAGGATGTTATCTGCAGTTTGAGGCCTGGCCCCAGCCTCAAAGGCAGTGTCGGCTTCATTAACAGAAAGGGCCAAGCCTCTGTCTTCACAGGAGCTGTCTTGGTAGCGGAAAGGGCGTTGGGGCTCCTTGGGTGGAGACTAGGGAGAAGGGTCAGCTGGCCCAGCCCTGCAGCTACAGGCCAGTTCCTAGCCAAGCGTGGGCGTGGGGTCAAGGGAGCCTCACCCACGCCTGGCAGGCGGAGAAAGCTGTGAGAGTCCTTGCTCTTCTGTCTTTTTCTGTGGCTGTGGAGGTGCAAGTTGGGCACTGTGAGAGGCAGAGTGACCTCAGTGAGGGGGTCTTTGAGGACCCCAAAGATCTATGCCTGCCCAGTGTCAGCTAATCCAGCTCTAGAGGCTGGACTCTCTCTTTGCCCCAGGCCCTGCCCTGGGCATTCGCCTCATCAGTTCAAATCCACACATCCATCCTATGATGCTGGTACCATTACACTCACCATTTACAGAGGAGAAGCCCCAATCTTATGGAAGTCTAAGTGGCTTTCCCAAGACCCCCAGCTGGAAAGTGGGGACCCCAGGGCTGCCTGGCTCTCAAGTCAGTTCCTTCCCTGCCACCACCAGCTGAGGTGAATTTGGAGCAAGTGCATTTGTGGGATCATGGATATCAGGGAATAGAGGAGATTGCGCTTCAGAGTAGGTGTCAGGGGCACCCAGAGGTTCGTCCACAAGGAATTCATTGGAGGCTCTTCAAAGACCTCCTCTGACCAATCCAACCATCCTCACGTCATAAGCAAAACCCAATGGATTCTCTAGAGTAGTTTAACATAAGGACTTGTTGAAGAGCCCTGTTATGTGCCATTGAGTCAGAACCAAGCCATAGCAGACCATCTAGCAGGTTTTCAGGTGCATTAAATTACCTGGGAGGAAACTGCCTATCTTTCTCCCAAAGAGCAGTTGGTGGATTTGAACTACATGCTTCGGGGATTGCAGTGTACCTTCTTGCCAGTAGGCTACCAGAGCTCCCTAAAAGAGGCCTGTTGTTGCTGTTAATTGCTGTCAAGTCAAGCATGACTCATAGTGACTCTATGAACAAAAGACCTAATGAATGCCCTTCTATAACTATCATTGTTTCTCCAAGTTTCCATAAGCATGGAGAAAGAAAAAAAAAATCCTACAGTCAACCACAAGAAGGTCTGGAGCCCTGCACTTAGAGACATTTGGAAGGAAATTATCAGGGCCACAGAGCTGGGGTGGAGGTGTGGGTGGAGTGAGAGTGAGGGTTGCTTCCCACAGTACACTGTCTGACCCATCACTCCTGTCCATGTGGGATTGTGTGCCAGACGTCTCCTCATTGAACTAGAAGCTCCATGAGAGCAGGGACTTCACCATCCTCTGTGTCAGGGAGTCTCCAGCACTCAGCACAGGACTTGGGGCCCTTGTGATAGACTTGCTGGAAGAATGTAATCCCCTGGAAGTTAAAACAGGGTCGGAGGGGCATGTAGACATGGAACTGGGTCTTACTGCTGGTGTCCACGGAAAGGGGTCAATCCGTGGACTGGATTTCCTGCCTCCTTGACACAAGTTCCACCCTGCTTTGAACCTGGAAGCTGAAGATAGACACACTTGGACTCACCCTCACTTCTGCAAGGATCAGCAGGGGGAAGGGGTTGACTATTCATTCTTCTCCTTCCTTGCAGGCCACTGCACACTGACGCCTCCTTCCACTGAAGGTTACAGCTCTGTGTCCAGGCTCCTCCACACAGCCCTCTCTGGACACTGCACGCGTTCTCCTCTAGGCTGAGGGTGGTCATGACCCCACAGCTACAGCCCTCAGATTCTGCACTGTCCCTTGTGGCTTCCCTAAAATCCAGCCTGCACCTGTGTAAACAGACTCTTCATTAAACTCTCCTCAAATTATCCCGTTGGAGCGTGCCATCTGTTTCCTGCTGGGGCCCTAACTGATGCAGATGAATTCAGGTACCGACTGTCCACGTGCCAAAAAGACACGTGGCTGGTGACCAGACCCCTGAGTCTGGACGGCAGAGTGGGCTCCTTCCTCCTCCGGGCTGGCCAGGAAGGCTGGGGCTGCAGGAAGGGATGGAGCACGTCTACCCTGGACACCAGCCACTGGAGGAATTTCAGGCAGCCCCCAGGGACCCCCAGGCGGCTCTCCGTCTCCAGCACTGGCCAGGAGCCAGGGGCTACTGAGGACAGCAGGGCCAGACTCAAATGGACAAGGGGACATGAGCACAAGGAGATGAGAGAGCACCAGCTTGGGGGGCAGGGTAGCCAGTCTGTGTCCTGTACTGGCTGAGTGGTGTCTTCCCTAAGTGCAAGACTTGTTCAATTTCAAGACCTCTTGTTTTTTTTGCTTTAATTTTTTTTCTTGTTGTTTACCATCGAGTGGTATCAAACTGGCACAGGAGGAGATTGACCATCCTTCTCCAGTGGAACATCTGGTGGATTCAAACCACACACCTTCAGGACTGCAGCACAGTTTCTTGCCACTACCCCATCAGAGCTCCCTTAGACCTTAGTTTGCTTGGCTCCACAATCAACATTCTTGGTATCAGCAGCCAGGAAATCAAGAGATGAATTGCATTGGGAAAGTCAGCTGTGAGGGACCTCTCAAGAGTACTGAAGAGCAATGACATCAGGCTGGAGACTAAAGTGCACCTGACCCAGGCTATCGTCTTTGCAATTTCATGCTATGCCTCGAAGAGCTCGACAGCGACTATGGATGATAGAAAAAGAATTGATGCCTTTGAGTTGTGTTGCTGGAGGAGAGCGTTGAATATACCGTAGACGGCTAGGAGAACAAGCAGGTTTGACCAGGAGAGGGTGAAACCATGCTGCTCCTTGGAGGCAAGGATTCTGAAGCTACATGTGACATGCTTTGGACATGTTGTAAGGAGGGACCAGTCCTTGAAGAGGGACATCATGTTTGGGAGGGTGGAGGGATAGCACAGGAGAGGAAGACCCTCAATGAGATGTATCGATTCAGTGAATGGGGTAATGGGGAATAGGTGTGTGAGAGACACTGAGATTGGCACAGGATAGAGCAGGGTTTAGGGCTCTTGTACATGGGGTTGCCATGAGTCCCAGGCGACTCTACAGCACATAAGAACAATGAGAAGGCAGACTGGAAGAGCCTAAAGGTTCAAAGCAAGAATGAAAATTGTCTCTCAGCCTCCACAGAGTCCTTACAGTCACCTGAATGGTCTGAGACTGTCCTATATGCACTTTCCAAAAAAGGAAAGGAGGCTCAGAGTGTGAGACCCCAAGACTGAGGAGAAACAGGAAACTCCAATCTCAGTCTTATCTCTCTCAGCTTCCAGAACACCCACAGAGGTGTTTTCCTCCCACCTCTGTAATCTCCCCTTATCTGTCTCCTCCTCCTCCCAACCCGATCCTTGGGCCCCTTCCCGTCTCTGTTTACCTTCACCTCCAGCTCAGGCTTTCCCAAACCTCTGTGACTCAAACACCAGCTCTGGCTGGTTACCAGGGAGGGGAAGGGAAGGAGACAGGAGTAGGAAATGAATTACCAGATAATAAACATGTGTTAAGATGCATGATGGGAAAGACAATATGAAATAAACTGGCAATCAGACATTTTGCATATTCTAATTGATATTGGGGAACAAAA